AAAAAAAAAAAAAAAAAAAAAAAAAAATTATTAATAAATTAATATATAAATTTCTTGCCATATTTTTATATGTTGATATATTGACGCGGTATCGATCTATTTTACTTTCAAAATCTCGTGAAATTTCATCGTTCTGTTACAAACTCTCGTGATATTTTGCAAATTCTTGTGAGATTTTATTAGTAAAATAGATCGATACCGCGTCAATATATCAACATATAAAAATATGGCAAAATTTCGATATATTAATGTATCAATATTTTTTCCCTCGTCTTTAGTAGTTTTTAAGTCTGTAAAAAATAAGTTTTTGAGGAAGAAGTAGTAGTATTTTTTATTTATTTTTTTTAGACTTTAGAAACTCAGAAGCTGATCAAATATCGGGTTAAATATCGGTGGGGTGGCCGATGTCCAATATTCAGTTTTAAGGCCGATACAGGCCGATACCGATAGAAGGCCGATTATATCGTGCATCCCTAATGATGATGATGATGATAATGGCTATTTTTGTATTTTCCCAAATGAAATAACCAGGAGAAGAGGAGAAGGTTGCTTCAGGAGCTGTGCGCCAACGACAGTGTGGTGTTCCCGGGCAAAAACCGTTCGTTTGACGACATTCCCAACAAGGAGTTGGATCATCTTATCGTGGATGACAGACATGGCATTATCTACTGCTACGTTCCCAAGGTTTGCAGGTTTTTTTTGTTTTTTTTTTACACTTTTTGGACGTTTTGTTTCATGATTATTTAGTTGAACTTCCTGAAATAACACTAATTCTTTTAATCTGTTAAGAACCTAATAAATGATTAAATTTTTCTTTACAAACAGACATTTTAAAAGACAGGGTGTGCATCACGTTAAGCACCATTTAATCTAGTAACTCGAGCTAAAATTCAGTTAATTAAAATTCATTATTACTGATATGTAGCGTAGCATACGTAGAATCTCCAGACCTCCTGCGTAACATTAACGCACAGCCTTCTGTGTATATAGTACATAGCTATATACTATATATAGTATATTGTATGACTTATATTGTATATATCTATAGATCCTGTATTCTGTATATATATCTAATTTGTCTGCACCATCAACACCATGTCAAATACCCTGTAAGTGAAAACCTACTTGGCAACATTCTGATTCTGATCGGGTGGTTGGGTTTTTCTCCTTTAATCTTCTGACTTCAGGTAGCCTGCAGTAACTGGAAGCGCATCATGATCGTCCTCAGTGAGAGCCTGCAGCAGGAGGGCGCTCCTCAGAGAGACCCTCTGGCCATCCCCAGGGATCTGGTCCACAACACCAGCATGCACTTTACCTTTAATAAGTTCTGGAAGCGCTACGGCAAGTTTGCAAAGCATCTCATGAAGGTCTGCTCTGGAATATACTGCTAACCTAACTCTAAACAAGCATGACCATATTTGCAGGGTTATAATCACATTGAGGTTAAATGTGCTGCTTGTTTTATGTTGAGCTACTCAACTGTTTATTGCATATTAAACAATATAGCCTAAAATAGCTTAAAATAAAATGTTATAATAAAGTATGTAATTACTGTATATTTGATGTATTTTATTGAAACGTATTTTAACACCAACATTATGATTTAATGAAATGTAAGTTTAATACCTGCTAAAAAACTTATTTTTAAAAGTTCCTGAAAAACAAGACTAATCCGAACTCAGATGTAGTTATTTGTGCATTTTATAAAGAAAGAAGTAGCTTGGAGACACAGCAAACAGAGATCCTAAAAGCACTCAGCAGTGAACTCAGTCTACCTGTGATTCACTCTATCAAAGATGATTCTATATTAGCATGATGGCAGAGTTTGTTTTATAATAAGATAATGAAATATACATTTTGGATAGAATATAGTTAATTATTTGGTCCAATTAAAGTTTTAAACCAACACTCCTGAGATCGAGAGAAATAAATTTTCCCTCATCACCAGACCATCCTTTCACCCCCTCACCAAAAGGCTTTTAAAATGTGGGAAACGGCTGTATCTACTTCTACAAGTTAAGCTTGTTTATCTGATCCACAGTGACTCTTTCTGCCCACTGCCAGCCACCACAGAAGAAGAATTATCTTTCTTCTTTCTTTAATATGGCAACTTTCTTTTGTGACAACTGTAATTATCATCACTGATAGCCAATAAAACATGGATGAGGGCCACTACCACACAAGCTCTTCTTTGATTGGTCATAGCGTTGAGCCTGTGTTGCGTTCACTGGAGCTGGGAAACCTCATCTCATTTGATATCGTAGGGCAGCTCAGTTCATTTCTTATTCCCCAGCTACAGCCGGGAATGCCCAGACCAGGCGATACCACTGATTTTTTACCATGTTAAAAAGCAGGAATGTGCTGTAAATAATCTTCATGTACTGCTTACGCTTCTATAGAAGTATTTTATGAAAGAGGTTGCATATCAGGGCTTTAAAAAGAAGGTAAAAGATCATAAACTTTTAACCAATCTGATGTTTCAATAACCGGGATAATGGAATAAAAACAATAAATTCTATGTTGCTCTGTTCACATGTTGGTTTATTCCATAAATTAAGAGGAAACTGAGTTTTGAATTGAAAGGCTGTATATTTTGGTGATATGGTTTTTGATTAAAATGGGTTTATTTGCAATTAATTAATCACATACCCTGTAATTAACTCAATGTAAAAATTTTATGCACATATATGAACATTTATGTGAGCAGTTTATAGTCTGTGCACTCTTCTTAATAATTATCCATTAATTAATATAGCTCACGGTTGTCTAATTATTTCAATAATTGACTAATTCTATTAAAGGATTTATCCCTGATCCTGCTCCAATTTAAACCGTGAATAAGAAGGACAGTTTCGTTAAAACGGTTAGCTTCACCCCCAGCAGGTTTTCCCTCCCTCCCTCTTTTCTCCTGGTCATAACATACGCCATTCCACTTGTCTAAGAACCACAAATAAAAGGGAACTAAAGCAGAGCGTTATATAATGTAGTAATAAAAAGTTACCGCTTTAGCAGTAATGCAGCCAGTTTTGAGTCCAAATTGGTCCCCAGAGTTCCCCAACTTTAGTACTATGTGCCAAGATTTAAAAGGGATTTGTTTCTTTTCTGCTTCCTGTTCAGTCCCTCTTCTCTTCATCTGCTGTGTTCAGCGACAGGTAGAGGAGGTAATGCTTCCTTTTGCTGGTTTTTGTGCAGCCATGTTGTGTTTACATGCCCTATGCTGCACAAAGAGCTGCTGCTTAGAAAAGATCCGCCCTTTTTTGTGTCCTTGGCAGAGAAAAGCCATCCAGTTTATCATAAGTTCCTGCTTATTCTAAATATGAGCAATCCCTCAATTAGTCAATTATTATTAAATTAACTGGGGCTGCAACTAATGATTTGATTAATTATTGATTTGATTAATAATCAGATAGCCAAAGTTTTCTTTAAGAAGATATTTTACATAATTAAACCAGGGGAAACTAAAACCTTTCCACTTGAGGAGTTTTTGATAGAGCATATTGACAGATGAACATTATTTTTCATCTAAAATGTCAAAAATGTATATATTTTATTACAAATTTTATATAATTATTTGTCTAATTGGGTTGTTCTGTCAACTAAAGGCATGTTTTACAGTCTCTTAACTCCAGTTAATGATTTATCGATTACTAAATTAGTTTACGATTGTTTCAATAATTGATTAATCCCATTAATTGTTTCAGGCCTCACATTACCTCGTGTATGAAGCATTTATTGAGTGAACCAGACTAAATAAGCTAAATCATTGTCACCATAATGTTGATCCTTCCTTTGAAGCCAACATTATGCATAACACTGGTTCTAATATTGCATGCTAATAAGGTTTAGAAGAGGAACAAATTTTTTCAGAAATCTCTTCCATTCTTCACCATGTTGGGAAACTTTAGACCAATCTCTGCATTACTGTATTGCTAAAAAATACAAACAGCTTCATTTCAACAGTTTTGTTTAATTTTTGGTTCCTGTTTCTGTTTATTGACAGATGATACTCCATTACTCCTTGCTGCAGATTCTCTTTTTATACGCAGACCTGCACCCAAAGGCTCCACTGTGTTATAAAACGGTTATAAAAACTCCAACCTCCTTTAAAGACAATAAAACGGCTGATTATTTTACTTTTGCTCTGACCATCAAGGTTTTCTTTCCCTAAACTGTAGCATAGTATCCCATGACGTGTTTTCTTGCAGTAATTCCTCTGATGAAATGATATCCAATCTGTTTGAATTGCCTTTTGCAGGTGAAGCTGAAGAAGTACACCAAGTTCCTGTTTGTGCGGGACCCTTTTGTACGTCTCATCTCCGCCTATAGGAACAAATTCGAGATGCGCAACGAGGACTTCTACCGGCGCTTCGCACAAGTCATGCTGCGGCGCTACGCCAACCAGCCGACGCCTCCTGCCTCTGTAGACGAGGCCTTCACCCTGGGTGTCCAGCCCTCTTTTTCCCACTTCATCCAGTACCTCCTGGACCCTCAGACGGAGAAGGACATGCCCTTTAATGAGCACTGGCGGCAAGTTTATCGCCTTTGCCATCCGTGCCAGATTCAGTACGACTTTGTGGGCCACTTGGAAACGGCGGAGGAGGACGCCGAGCACCTGCTTCGACTTCTGCGGGTGGATAACGTGGTGGAGTTCCCCACCTCGCAAAGGAACCTCACGGCGAGCAGCTGGGAGACGGACTGGTTCAGCACGGTGCCCATCCAGGCACGGAGGGAACTCTACAAGCTCTATGAGCCTGACTTCAGACTTTTCGGGTACGACAGGCCAGAGTCCCTCCTCAACGAGTGATTCACACCAAGCTAATGCAAACACATAGTTTTGTAGCGATGCAGCACTTCTTTAGAGGTTTTAATCATCTTCATAATCATATCTCTGCTTCACTGAGGTGCAGACGAGCAGGAAACTAAAGGATGAACAATCATGGTGTCATTTCCTCATTAGAAGAAGCATGCAGTTTCAGTAGATCCTGGTGTTTCCTTCCGTCTGTTAGGATTTTATGGTATTTACTTTGTGTCGACAATTGTGACTAAATTCACACACTCCGGTAGCATCCTGTTAAAAAAACGACTCGCTGAGTTAGTTGGGGTTATAGTTGCACATAATGCAAAGTTGGATTTCTTTGTGTTACTAAATCAGTTTTAATTATTGCTGCACTTTCAATAGTGAGCAGTTTAAAGTTTTTTTTAAGCATGAAAAGGAATGTTAATGTAGAAACAGACTCATAGAAGCTGAGAGCAGCTGAGACACGTCCTGTTTTATCTCATATGATGGGATATGTGAAGGTTCAAAAATATGTGCTTTGTTGGCCAAAATGTAGCGTCTGCGTAAGGAAGCACAGCAGATTCAGCACATCAGCTGGGAATCTGGGTTTGTCTCGGCTTGTTTTGGAGACAATGAACCAGATTTTCAGCATTTCTATGGGTACTAATGCACAGATGTGCCTCTGCTTGTTTTACAAAAATCTTCTTGAAAGGGAAAACTTGTTTGATTATCGCCATCGCTGTTTCATCTGTCTTTTGTTGTTTCTTTTTTAAAGCACAAACTTTGTTTTTAGATGACTCCGGGCTCAAATCTGGCAAAAAATCAAATTTAATTGGCTATTTTGTTTTTATATTTCATTTTAATATTTTTCTTTACTCCCCTTGGGATGTGTGGTTTTAGTTTTCACTCTTATTACAAAAGATTATGAGCCCGATTGAACCAAAATGAGTTGGAGCGCCCCCTGCGGGTCAGTATGATTTAATGGAGTCACTTGAACACATTTGTTTGCAGCAGATTAAAATTAGATTGAAAAATTGTATGGAAGGTCAGACGTGTCAAAAATATTAATGTTTATTACTCAAGTATAAGTATAAATCCTGCTGTTTAAAAACACTTTTGTAGAAGTTAGAGTATCAACTAAAAATAACATTTGTAAAACTACTTAAAGTATAAAAGTAATGAAGGAAAAATGTTAAGGACAGATGCTTTAAACATACTGGTTACTGCACTACCCTATCAAAGAAATATTTTTCTACAATTCTGGATGAGAAATTCCTTATATATAATTATCTTAGTTTTATAACTAATTGTAAAAGTGTTCAATTTAACTTTACATCATCTTGGAAAAACGATTTATTTTGGTATGTGGTGAACAACAACTTGGTGCAGTACCGAGTCCAACCACAAAGAAATTAATTGCCTGGATAAAACAAATGATTTTGACGTTTAAATGCCAACCTGCCATAACTAAAATGAGCTTAAATGAAACAAAACTTCTATTTTTAAAATGTAAGAAGTAGAAAATAGAGATAATTGCAAAATAATGTAAGGAGTAGAAGTAAAAAGTCGTCTAACAAAATAATCACTCCAGTAAATTATAGATAACTAAAATCCCTACTTTAGTAAGATCAGGAAGTAGTTGTACTTTGTTACTTGACACCTCTGTAGAAGATTCTATATGTAAAAAACTAAATGTGAAAGTTGGAACAGAACATCCTCAGCTGCAAAATGACAGAAATTGCCGCTAAGAGATTTTAATGTTATGACAACATGTAAAAGAAATACTGGATTATCAGCTTATTAATGCGGACATTTAAAATACTTAGTGCAAATAAAGCATAAAAAAGCTGAAGATTCTTAATATAGAATATTTGTTACCACACTTCCAATGTTGCCTGAAATGTAGATTTGAGTAAATGTAGCAGAAACATCCATTTTAACAGTTTCTAAATGGTCCTGCCTTCAGTCTGTTACTGGCTGTATTTATTTGGGGGGACGGGGGAGTAAAGTGTCGTGTTTAAGCCACCTGACCAGCAGTGCTCAGTAAGAGGGGCAGAGTTGTATTGCAGTGGAAGTAAATGCCCGTCATTTTTGTTGGTGGAAAAATGAGTGGGAACATTTTTATTGGCGGTTGAAGCCTTGTATAAGTTGGAACTAACAGGCGAATAGCTGGTAGGTTATTGCTGAGCACACAGTACCGTCGGTTTTCTTTAGTTTCCACAACATGACTGCTGTTGGTGCAGGAAATTTTCCCACCAAACTTTGTCGTCAAAATAAAAAAAAAACATATAGCAACATTCTTTCAATCAGCTGACCAACAACTGGATGGAATTCAGTCAGTTCAGCGGCTTGTCTGAGACATTTTTAAAAGGGACTTTAAAGCTGAGAAACAGTCTAATGGTCATTGTGGTTTTCTAACATTAACCGTCATAGCAGTGCCGCCCCAAAACAGGTGGTGCAAACATGTGGAAGACAGCTTTTGGTATGAAAAACAGAGAAGCTCTGTGACTCAAACAGCTGAGCTTCTCTGCAGACTGTAGCAGCAGAGCCATTTTCCTCTGAACCTGGTCATTTAGAACAGGCTGCATTTATTATGTGGTGCATTGAAATGTAGCATTGAGGAAGAAAGAACTGCTGCACTGCTGTAAGCTGGTGGAAAACGAAGGCCGCTCAGTATTAAAGATAGTGTTTAATCACTGAGGCTGGAGTTTGAATAAAGAAAACGGCTTTAGATACGAAGCATTAGATGATGAAAAAATGTGAGGAAAAGACAGTGCCTTTGGTTGTTCAAGTTTACACAGCAGAAAAAAATATTTTTATAGGACTTACTTTGTACTAAAAATCACTGATTCACAAAGAGGAAGATTTGATATACTGAAGCTTGTTGAGTTCTCAACTTTAGTTATGGACCAAAAGAGAAAAAAGAAGCTTTTCGGTTTAACTGTTATTGTGGGAATTTGATATAAACTTATGTGTTTGCTTTCTCCCTCATTGTGCTCTCGTTCATGGTGCGTCTTTCCATGCTGGACCTTGATGAACACACAGATATGTTTGTGTTTTTCCTTCCTTTTTTTTTATTTGGATCATTATGCAGAAATGTGTTTGATAAAAAAAAAAAAAAGATGGAGCCATGTGCTTTCTCTTCATTATATGGTGTATGTGTAAATATACTCCAACTCTGTGTGTTTGTACTGTAAGTCCTGTTGTATTTCAACACGTCTTTTTTTTTTTTTTTTTACTTCTTTTTCTATTCATGTTCTTTGTTGTTGTTTCCTACGTAAGATTATGACTTATGGCTTTTTTCTGTCAGCGTGCAAAAAAATAAATAAAAAAAACTGAAGCAGAAATGTTTGCAAGTCAAAAAAGAAACCATCTGTTTATGGTTCAAATAAAACATGTTGACATGAGAGTGTGCTGTTTTATTTACAGTCACTGGACATTTAATTTAAGATGAGAAAAATATTTCTGACCTAATTTTTAACTTGCTTCGAAGTGACACAAGAGGTTGGTGAGGAAAGCTCAGATGTATCACCGATATCTTCACCTTCCATCATTACAATCATCTATCACATTTTATAAACATGCAGAAAAAGCTGCTAACTGATTACATGCTAGTTTTTATTAAAGCTACAGAAAATGTTGCAGAAAGACCAATAGGACAGATTTATACTGCCCTCTAGTGGTCAGATCCAGGAACTACAACAGTAGGTCAAATCAAAACTTGACTTCTCACAGAAAATTCCCTTTGGTGCCCTGTTTAGATCCTTCCATGCTCTAGCGTATACAAAGGATAGCTGGATATAAGTTTTAGCATCTTTTAACGTGGAAAAAAAACATGTTTAACTTAACTCTGTGCGCCTGGAGGCTTGGTTTTTGTTAATTTGTTTATCAGTAGAGAAGTACATTTGCCATTAGGTGGGAGAATAACAAGCTCGGCTCAACTGTTACCATAGCAACTGCTCTAATTCCAGATGTGCTTGGAGGTAACTGTTGATCTGCAGTGTAGGCTGTATCCTGAGCTGAAATCCAAAATGGAAATAGAGTAAACCACTGGTTACCATGGAGACCCAGTCAGGGGAAACTGGTATCTTTGGCAGCGCTTTCCTACTAAGTGTTGTTTGACCTCTAAAAGAAAAAGCAACTTCATCTACATCATTTCCTTCAGATTAGAGGAAACAGAACTTCCTTTGATTCAGTTTATTTATATAGCGCCCAATTCACCACACGTCATCTCAAGGCACTTTACAGAGACAATTCAACCAGATCATACAGTCAAATTGATTCAAAGTTTTTTATCTGAGAAAAAAAAAATTTGATTGCATCGACTTACTATAAAGAATGCTTGTAGCGACAGTGGAGATGAAAAACTCCCTTTTAACAGCAACAAAGTCGCCAGCAGAACCAGGCTCAGTGTGAGCGGCCATCTGCCGAGGCCGAATAGGGTTCAAGGAGCCAGAAGCAGAAATACAGAAAGAAGCAGAGATACAAAAGGCAACTGTAAACCAGCTCCACAGGCGGCCCCGTCCAGGAAACACACAGCCAGCAGACGAGCTCCGAGCGCCCCTATGTCAGAGGATGAAGAGAGCACATCCAGCCAGTCACAGTCAGAGAAACAGGACTACACTGAAAAACAGGCCGAGCTCGAACATCTATAAACAAAGGTGTTTGATCAAATGTTTAACAGTGGATGAGAACAAATAAATGACTTTTTAGTTGGCACATGTCATTTTATTTCAGGCTTCGAAAGAAAAACAAATTAAATATATTCAAGAAAAAATGTATAACTTTGTTGTTTCTCCAGAGATCATAAAAATAAAACCTGGTCCTAATCTGAATCATTAGTACAATCAATGAAGACATTTTATTTAAGTTATAATTAAGTTATATATATTCTTCAATCTTAAACACACAGAGTTAATTATTAACATGCATAGCAGAACTTAAAAAATTATGTATTTGTTTTGCTAAGCATTTTATGAAAAGGAATATTTGTCGCCATTCATCTGCAAATCTTTTGGAAAGAAAATGCTGTTAACCTGATAGATGAACCAGTTTGGTATCAACAACAGAAATAACAACTTATTGCAAATTGGATTGCAGTGATGCACAGATGTACATTTTTATAGTCCTTAACCAAAAAGAGCATACTGAAAGACTTTAACGGATGTTTTTCTTGTGTGTGTGTGTGTGTGTGTGTTAAACAAAGGATCTTTGTTTACTACCCTGTCCGTATTCAACAATATGACACATTTTTCTGAGGTTTTAATGAAATTTCTTTAATGAGTGTTGGTCAGAAAACCCCAGAGACAACAGATCTGCTTCCTGTTTAAATTTACAGCTCTGTATTGCATTCCCCAAACTGATGTGGTTATGCTGCATTCAGTAGTCTCCTCAGCTTAGGTAATGTGGACAATGAGCAATGTGTTTATGGACAACCAGCACCACACACTCTGCATCCTACAACAAGCTGAAATTCTAACAAAGATTTTTTTTTTTTTTTACAGAACTTAAATAAATGAAAGATGATTTTTTTTCTTTTTCTATCAATTCCAAAGTTCCCAGAAAATGCAAAAAAAACAAACAAAAAAACGACTTGCTGTAAATATTTTCACCCTTAAACCTTTTCAATTTCATTTATGTCACAGTCAAACAGGGAAGTTAATGATTGTGACATTTCGTGGTATAAACAAACACAAAACTTTGTTTAAAAGAAAAAGGAGCACAGTAGATAGATAAGAGAGAACATTTCAGTGGATCTAAAATTTTGGGCAGGTTGATGACTGATCATTTAACAGCAGATCAGATTTTTCTTACAGGTTTGAAGGCAAAAGTAATGGGGTATCTAGAAAAGTAGTACAAAACTTTTAAATCCGACATATTTTAAAGAGATGAAAGAATATCAGACTGAGAGAATTTAATATGTTTGGTAAAATGGTTGTTGCCAAAAATATGATAAATGTGGCTAGAATAGGTGGGTTAGAAGGGAAACCATGACGTATGCAGTTTGTCTTTAGTTGCATAAAGGGTACAACAAACATGTTGAAAAAGGTGCTTTACTGAAATGAGATTAAAAAAGAAAATCTACATCACCCTAAACATCCCATGGTAAGACATGGTAGTGGCACCATCATGCTGTGTGGCTTCCCTCTAACAGAAACACATGAACAATTGCTTAGATTTCAATTATTAGATGATCAGAACTTGTTGAGACATAAAAACAAAGACTTCAGTTGTATTTACAGTAAAAAGAGCTTTCTAATCCACTTTATGTTGGTGGCTTATCATGAAATATATTTAAGTTTGTGGTTCTAATGTCACAAAAAGGGTGAAAGTTCCAATAAAATGAACGCAGTAAGTCTTAGTATTTTGTGAACAATCTGCTGTTCTCATCAGCCCGTCCCGTTCTTCTTACTCCCCGCTCGGTTTGATGAGGTATCCATTAAAAGTCATGTAAACATCTACGTCGTCGCTGTAGATGGCGTTCTCCCTGTCCCTCTTGAACAGGCGCACCCACACCGTGTCGCCGCGCTGCAGCTGCAGCATCACGCTCTGGCTCTGCATGATGGATCGGTCACTGGGCTGGGCGTACACTATCGCCCGCTCCATGTCGTTCTGCATGATGTGCAGGTACGTCTCCTTGAAGTTCCACGTGTGGATGTTGACATTGAAGAAGTAGACGCCAGCGATCCTGCAGAGGAACTTTCCCTGGAACATGTCGAAGCTGCTGTCAAGGTTGACGAAGACCGTGTCGAATGTCACCGCCTGGTCGGCGTCGTCGCTGTGCAGAGATTTACGACGGGCAACGGAGAAGGCAGAGTGCTGAATGTTGCAGGGGTCTCCTGGAGGGCCCGCCTGGCCCTTACTGCCCTTTGACCCTGGCACACCTTGGGCCCCTGGAGGGCCTTCATGTCCAACTTTCCCTGGAGTTCCTCTATCCCCTCGATCTCCTTTATCACCTGAATCATAGTTTTATCAAGACCCAATGAGAACACATTAAAAATACACAGATGGCCTTCATTTTAAAAGTTAACCATGACTTTAATAAAAAAAAAAACAATTACCCAGACAAACTGACCACCATACCTTCTGGCTTAATTGATCACTCCATTTACCTTCCTAGCTCTGGTTGCTCATTGCCACTCATCTGACCCACCTGCTTCTGCTCTATTTATTGCATCCAGCTATCAGGGCCAGATTATCTTGTTGTTCTCTGGGGCCAGTGGAGAGAGGATTTTAAGTGTACCATAGTGTTTCTGATTTCCTTATCCTGACCTGTTCTGCCTCTCAACCACTGAGCTTGCTTGTTCCCGTCTGAATGGTCTGCCTGAACTATCTGTGGACTCCTGGAACCCTGAACCAGCCTGTTCCTGCTCTGATCTGTATCCCTGGCTGGGATTCGGACTCCTGCTTGTCCTCCAGGGCTGCAGCATCTGGGACACTCTGAGGGGCGCCTGCTGCATCTTGTTGGCAGCCCACCGGCATGATCCGTCCTCATTCTTTGGCAACAGACTAAACTGTTAAACCAGAGTTTCCAGTGATAGACGCTCTAGCCGGTGATATGCGGTCCCACAGCCTGCTCTGTTTTAATAAAGGCTTTATAAGTTATCCCATTGTCTGTTTGGCCTTCAATACTGCGTCCTTCTTGTCTGAGTCATGACAATCAGCTCTGTATCGTTTTATTTCTGAAAAGGATTTAGCCTAAAGCCATCTGCTCAAAAGAGGATCTGAAATGTAAAATGAGCCAAGGCCTCGTAACTAATACACAAGGAAGGGCTGAAAAGGGACAAATCTAACTGTGGGAGGGTTTCAAATAAAGCAAAGCATCCAAGAAAACCCACTAACGTCCTCTGGAGGTGGGGGGTTGGATGGGATGTCAAGCAAGAGTGAATGAATATTTCAGTGAGCTGTCAGCAAGCTGTAAACAATCCGAAAAAATCTTACAAGACTTATATTGTGTGACGGAAAACCGAGCAACCTTTTAGTTTCACTGATAATCCCCCAATTTCCCTTTGATTGTTTATCAAATTGATCAGAAGTTAAAGAATCTGAACATCAACCAACTTGAAAATAAACGCTGACTCTGGATATTTTGTAAAAATTAATTGGCTCTGCTTCAACAAACACTTCATTTGGAACAACCTCTGAACACAAACTTAATTATTCAAGGACACAACAAAGAGAGGCGGATGAAACATGATGCATGCTCTTTACATTTTTATGCAGGAAATGTCTTGAAGTATGTTTGTATGCTTTTAATCCACTGGTGCAAAAAGAGATGTAAAAGCATTACGGTATGTCTGAACACATTTCCTTCTGTATTTTGACTGATAGCTGTTTTAAAACAACATACAGAATCCTGATGCTTCCTGATTCACCTAGAATGCTCCCAACTCTGACCTCATTTCTAGCTCCAACCTTCATCTTTAAAATTCTTGCTAAAAAAAGAGCATCCCAGCAGGACGCTGCTGCCACCACAGTTTTAATGGTGTGATTAGTGCAGTATCCAGTTAGTGGTCCTGCATGACTGCAGTTCATGACTGCACATGTTTTCTAGTCTTGCATGATGGATTGAAGATATTTCTCCACAACCTTCGAACCTCTAGAGATTTTTACAACATAGTTGTAGATTTCATCACATGCAGGCTGAAGAGGCCAATGAGGTTTATGACTTGTGGAGGCAGTTGGTGTTTGGATCCACTGATTTTATTTAGAGGGATTGGAGCAAAGGGTGTTATAAACATTGTGCTTGTTAGGTTTTTACTGGTAGAAAATGCAAAAAAAAAAAAAGGTTTGAATTGTCCTTCCACTTCACAATTATACAATAATTTAGGTCAGTTAATAAAATACGAGTTAAACTAACAAAATGCAATGGCATGAAAACAGTGATTGTGTTTTTTTTTTGTCTCATTTTTGGAGATCAGAGAATATTCACCCCTTTTTTAAAATTTCTCTGAAAAGATCTCCATAGTAGTGTAATGCTGATAAAACATAAATTAAAAAATTAATAAAAACTGCAATGAACCTCATGACTGGAACAAAAATCACCTTTCAGTATAGTCATGTTGATGTAGGTGCGGATCTCTGGGACATGGCTGAACTCTCCCAGTGTCGGAATGTCTCCGCTGCCCTCTGCTGGAGAAATGTGGTCACAGCATTTTCTGCAGGGAGAGTTGGGAGGCACCATAGCCACAGGGGAGGAGGAGGAGAGCAGGAGGAGGACCACAGCCAACATCACTGTCCTTATGGCCGCAGAAATGGATAATGGAGTTAGAGGATTTATTGCAAAACATTTTAAATTTGCAGATAATTAAAATGCAAGAGTTAAAGGAAATACATAGCTTCAGATAAATGTGTTCTGTCCTCAATAGTATGTTGTGAAGTTATTTATTAAGTGTATGTTTAAAGACAATAAAAGTAAAAATCAAATTTAATACAGAAAGACTATCTCTTTAAAATTAATGTTGCTTTTTCCAAAATCGTTTTTAACTGTGAATAAAAGGGCAGATTTTCTTTAAGATGCAATAATAACTGACTGGAGTGGATTGTTTGCTGACACAAAAAAAAAAAAAAAAACAAGGAAACAGGTGATGATTTAATGAAGCTCAGACCAGCCATAACAATAAATGAAGATAAGAACAATTTGGATAAGAGCAATAAGCAGAATTCCTTCACATCCTTAGAACCTTACACGTCCATATTCTATTAGATGAGATTTCTGCAAGCCTCACCTTTGTGGAAACATCTATAGAAATATATCTACTTGTACTTTAAGGTTAGCTGAAGCAAAGACAGAAAAATCTGGGAATATGAGTATAGATTTGCATACTGTATTTGAATATGACAACCTACCCAAGGGGCTATGCCATAGGGGGCGCTACAAGACCAACAATGAGACTGAAATGGTCCAGGCAGGTCCAGGCAGCAGAAGTTGGTGTCATGTCATGAAAGCAGGCAAGTGCTGCTAGCTGTGGATGCTGTAGTTGGTATGTGATTCAAAATTCATGCTTTGGTTTTAAATTAAAGACCTTTTGGTTTTAAATTAAAGACCTATATGTTGGAAGACTTCTAAGGAATTTGGACTGTATTTGATCACTCCCGGACATATTAAGCCTGATTAAACCCTAATTGGATTATTTTATACTGAACAATGTTCCTTTAAAATTCAAATATGAGTTTTATGAGTCTTTTTTTTTTTTTTTTTAAGCATTTTTGGGGGGATTCTGAACTGACCTTCCACTTCAGTGCTTTTTTGCACCATGTCTCTCCTACACTGTTTACATTTTGATCACTGCTGCACTTTAAAAATGTTCATATTCACTGCTCAACTGCTGCTCATTCACTTTCATAAAGCTGTATGTAACAAAATGTTGTTTTGTATATGCTGTGTATTCAAAATGACAATAAAGTTTGTCTAAGTCTAACACATCAAACCTATTATTATTATTATCATTTGATTTTTACAGTGAGTAAAAAAAAAAAAAAAAAAAAAAAAAAAAAAAAAAAAAAAAAAAAAAGTAGCCAAACAAGTGAAGAGTTAAATTATTTGGCTACAACAACTGGAGGTATGATGAAAACAGTATGGGTGAGGCCACTGTCCTGCTGCTTTTTGCATGCCTGACCAGGAGACTGCTAAACTTACACACATGCCAAGGAGTTAGTTTGGTCTTGTGTTTCAGGTATGTCAGAGCAGGGATGCATGCAAAAGCTGCAGGACAGTGGCAATCAAGGACTAATGTTGCTTATCCCTACAAGATGTACATACATGCACCCAGCTGGAAAGCATTTCTTTCTCCCGGCCATTATTTCCATACGCTGCACTTAAGATGACATGAGGATCAGTGTTATGATTTGCTGGAAAGTAAAGTAGTGCATCTGTGATAAACCCTCAGTATAACCCAAAGTATAATATATTTTTTGTGTATTTGTTGACTTTGATTGGCTAAGGCTCAATCCAAATACAGCAAATCGGTGAGGAGTCTTTGCCAAAGCAGACATTGTGTGTGAACAGTGCTGGTAAAGGAGGTAAGAAAAGGAGCCTGTAATCATCAGTGGTGTCAAAAGTACACATATTTTCTACATAAGTCAAAGTATAGATACTGCAGTTAAAGTAAAAGCAAAAAAGATTGTGATCCAAAAACTACTGAAAGTATAAAAGTATAAAGTAACCTTTAAAACAAACAGCCAGATGCCACTATATGAACTTAAAGCTTAATTTTTGACTATTTCAAAAAATTCTTTAGATAGGGCCAAGGATGAGGGAGGTCTTGTTGGTCTCCATCTCCTGATACACTCTCGCCTGTGTCCGACCTTTCAGACATTCCAACATCTTTTTCTGAATCCCACATTGTAGCATGGCATAGACAATTCACTTTTGCAGTTTGAAGAATACCTGCTTGCTTCTGATGATTTCCTTTAGCTAACCAATGAGTGTTGGCGTTATATGACTCATGCAATCACACTAGTTTTCACTAGATGTGGATGGCGCCAATAATCTGCATTGGATGGCACACATGACGTGAAATAAATATTTATAAGCATTAAACTGAAGCCAAGAGTAACGAGTAACGTTTGTTTTAAAAATGGAAGGAATAGAAAGTACAGATACTTGTGTGAAAATGTAACGAGTAGAAGTAATGGAGTAAAGTATAGATACCTAAAAAGTGTACTTAAGTACAGTAATGAAGTATTTGTACTTGGTTACTTGACACCTCCGCCTATCATATCTCCTAGAATCGGGACATCACAATGTTATCTTTCCCACAATCCTTTGCATGACCAGACATAAAGGAACCCCCCCCTCAAAGAGATGAACAAAAGTACATCATTGCTGCATGAGTACTGTGTGACACATGCAAATGTATACATCCTTTATACGATTTAGTTTTTATAAAGGATTTCCTCTGCTGTTCTCTAAATTTAAGTAACTTGTGTTTTTGGTTTTTCTTTTTTTGTAGACTAATCTATCACTTAGATTGCTGCTTAGCACAACATTTAGAATCAATATCCAAAGTGTCCTTAGTTTCTATTTATCAACATTTATATTAAAAAAGAGCAGCATTTCTTCTTTCATTTTGCATTATGAGTGGTTCTTTGAGCTTTCACACCTAATATGACCTCATTCACCTTTCATAAAAAAACCAACTTTGTTTTTTTTCAACATGCATATTAACCCTAAGCAGTGATATTACCTCATTGTTTTGTTGGTTTCAGTTTTCTTTTTAGTTGTTCCCTTTGAAAACACACTATTTCCTCTACTTATTCGGTATTACTTATCATTTTCATTTCTCGTAGGAATGAAGTATTCTAACTGAAGGTTGAAATGTTTTAAGAAATATAGCATCTTGAAAATATGTTTTTTATCTCCATATATTTGTGTGCATGCAAGGCTTGCACTCAGGATGGCAGCGTAAAAAGTAACTCCTTTATCTGTGGTATTTGGCTATTATATCCTGATAATCAGGTGGCAACATCATTTGACAGCTTTAGTTTAAGCCTGTTAATAGAAACCAAATATCAATAGTTGAAAAAGCCATCAATGGTAATGTTGTAAAATTATCATATATGAAGTTTAAACCTTTTTTGCAAGTTATCAGATAGAGCCGTTTTTCTGTCAGTGTGGATTGAATTTTATTGATCTCACACCGGAGAAATTCACCTGTACATTTAATCTGCTCCCTGAGGGAGCAGAGGGCTGACACTTTGCGGCACCCTTGGAGCAGTGTGGAGTTAAGGGTCTTGCTCAGGGACCCAGAGTTCAGGCTGTGGGGATCGAACCAGGTCTTTGCAACCTCCGCAAAGCACAGGCGCACTGCTCTAACCACTAAGCCAACACTCCCCTGAGCGGCTAAGAAAAAGAAATCTGCATTTGAAGCAAACGACCACACTGAAACCACACACCACGACGAGTCCAACCTGTATTTTAAAAATCTGGTTTGGATTGCAGGGTGTAAATTATGCTTTTGCGCTGTTCCAAAAAAAAACCAAAAAAAAAAAAACCAACTCTTTGATTCCAGCTGCCTTATTTCAAACCAAATGACCTCTCTGTGTAGGTCCTCTGTCTTATTTCACTGGACACATTAAATTTATGAGGAGATCGTGTGAGCAACAGATGGGCCCTCACTGTGTTTATTATGGCTCTTTCACTGAACCGTCAACATTACATAACAAGAGGGATTTTTTTTTCTGGAAGCCCCTCCTAAACAGCTGTCTTGTGTGTGTCCCAGTGTTATATGCTAATACATGCAGCTATGTTTAAAAAAAACAAAAAACTGTTTTTAAGGTTTAAACAAACAACCTGCTGCATGTTGCTTAACAGGTTGCTACCCTTTCACTTCTTCACTAATATTTTTGTTTTAAATAATTTCAGTAATATCATGAAACACAGATGTTCCTATAGTTCTATAGACTAATAACCCAACATTATGTCAGTGAAACTCACCTTGGCTTCACTCGCTGATAAAGAGGCAGATTCCTGAGTCTGCAGCTTTATTTTCTCTGCTTCTGCTTCTGAGAGAGTGAAGTTTCCTGAGCAGATATCCCACTTTTTCCTGATCCCTCCTCCATTTGAGCCACAACCAGTTATGCAACAGTAACATCCAGCTGGGGACCAAAACTCCTTCCTGTATGAGCTGCCTGTGGACTCCTGATTTAATCATTGCACACAAACCTTCATCATATGCAATAACTAAATGAAGGTTAATTATTCAAATTGTTTGCAATCAATCATAAAGTGTAACACTGTAGGAAAAAAAATGATTTTATTTGGGTTTTTATAATGCACTGATAAATAGTGGATTCAGTACAGGAAACTTTTATTCCTCTTCTTTACAAAATTCCTCTGAAAATTCCCAGCAGTCCCAGCAGCGGGGAACAAGGGGATTCAGCGGAAAGATAAGTAATTTATTGAAACACATGCAATAGGATGTTTTTATTTGGGTTGGAGTTTAGTTTAGATTTGATCAACTATGAGCGGAGAAAATAAGCACAAGGATTACACACAGCTTGTAGAAACCAGAAAGCTGGGATTAAATAAAGCACATGTTGCGGTTTCACACAGATTTTCCAATTTATTCTGTTTGTTTTCTTACAAAATCACATAAATTAGACTAAAAGTTTCCTGTTCTAGGTCAGCTAGATTTACCAGTTGCATTGCTATTTAAAAAAAAATACACAAATATTTCTTCCAATCTAGAAGTTTGTATCATCTAAGACCACTGAACTTAAAAAGAATTTAGGAAAGTCCAGATGATAATGTTTTGGCTTTGTAGGCTTCTGATATAGTTTACACTGCAAACTCTATTCTGGACTTCTTTGGGTAAACAAGGGGCAACATTTAACTTCTTAGGTTAGAAACATGTATTTCTGGATTCATCTAAATTCAATTCAATTTAATCACAGTGACGAAAATAGGTATTTGAACACCTTGCGACTTTGTGACTTTCTCCCACTGACAAATCATTGAGGGGTGGGGCATTTTCCTCTTAGCTTCATGACTGCTCTAAGAGACAAACTAGAAAAAAAAACCCACAACAAGAGTCAATCATAATGTAAGATTTTTTTAAAATAACTTATTTGCATGTTAATGAGGCAAATAAGTATAAATGACTTTGCAGGAATTGCTCCTTCTGGATGAGCATGTAGCGAAAGTAGATATTCGCTTACATCTTGTTGTTGACTGCAGCAATCCCTCACACTGAGCATGCATTCAGCAAAATTGGAGAGGAAAACTCCCATTTAACAGGAAGAATCCTCCAGCAGAACCAGGCTCAGAGTGAGCGGCCATCTGCCCAAGCCGACTGGGGTTCAAGGAGATAAAGTTGAGCATAAAATTTCACATACATTACATCCATTAAAGACAAAAAAATCAGCTGCTAGTGAAAAAAAATGAAATTGACAAAAGTAATAATAAATTAAAATAATATGAAAAAATGGAAATCATGTGTAGCAACACTTTGAGGTAATCACTGAAATCAGGTGTTTTCTGTTGAGGAAATGTTCAGTAAGACGTGGGCATCTGTTGACAGGAATGTTGGTGACATAATGTGTGGAATTTTTCTGAGCCACATCTAGAAACCACCTGGGAGACTTTGCAGAACCCGTTTCAATTATTTTATCGTTGGACAACGAGAGGTGCCCCAGGAGCTCTGGTAACTGGACAGGGAGAGATGTAGCTAGATGGAGCAAAGTATACTTGTGGGGTTTTAACTAAAGCAGGTTTACTGATGGTGGAGTGGAGTAGTCCTTGGGGAAGGTCCCTGAATCCAAAGGGGGAGTCTCTGTGTCTGGGAATCCCAAGGGAGGGCATGCAGGAGGTCCAGTGAGTATGGCTGTGGAGAAGAGCAAATCAGGGTTAAATCCTATGAGGGGATCTTGAAAAGAGATTGAGGTAGGCAGCTCGGGAACAAAGCTGAAAGCTAACAATGCCAGACTTTAACAGGATGAAGGAGAGAACTCTGGGAAGTACTTAATCTTTGCTTGGAATTTTTCTTATCAGCATGACTGTACCACCTGAGTGGAATCATCAGGTGTGGAATGGCTCTCCTGCAGCTGCTTTTAACACTGCAACAGATGACAGACCATCAGCTGCCATGTTGTCCATTCACAATCACACAGGCTCACCCCAGGATCAAAACAGTTGTTTCACTGGTCATGGGCAAGGTACTTTAATCTGTCTGGGAAAGTTTGTTTGTTAGAATTATTTCTCAAACAAAAACATATATTTATATTATTTTACTAAATTATCATTTAGTATTTTTTTTATTTAATATACAAATAACTGTTTTGTGTTATTTGAATTACTAGTGTGAATTTATAATTTTCTTTAAACGAAGGGTATGTAAACCTTCAAGTACAACTGTAGGAGCAGACATAAAAAAGGACCATTGCTAGTTCTATAAATATGTTCTATGTTAAAATAAGGTAATGGTAAACTGGCTCTATTTAGTAAAGAAACAGTTATGCAGACAAACTGTAACCCAATTCTTATGTCGAAGAGATGAAATAGAGCACATCCAGTTAGTAAAAGACAGTAAAAGATGAACCCATAGGACCTAGCACTGAAAAACAGGCCCAACTGTATCATCTATAATGGAAGATATTTCTCTGCAGGATGGAGTCTCAGCCAAAAAGGAACAGATCAAATGAAGCTACTGTGACAAGACAAAGCAGAGAGAGCATAACATAGTTGCAAAAATACTACTTTACAATAAAGATAGAATAAAAAAGAATGATGTCCTCCAGCAGTCTATGCCTATAGCAGCATAACTATAGAGTTTCTTTTTTTTTAACAGTGTCCTGTCTGGCGATGTGGCAATAAGAATAATTGTCTTGATGCCAAAAAGAGCCCAACAGATTTTTACTTTCTCAAGTGGAACGGTACGTGGTGTTCCGCATGATTTATGCATATAAATTGCTTTATTATAATTATGCAGGGAGTTTTACAGATTATATGGACACTGCAATGTAAGTAGATCAGGAAAGGAAAAACAGAAAAAAAGGAGAAAAGATGAAAGAAAGAGGAGATAAAAGGGAGATAATGATAAAACATCTTCAGTCTGTTTCATCACCTGCAAAGAGATGTAAAAAGAACAGCACAACCAACAGACATGGTATAAGACATACTATAACGCAACACCTAGATACTATCGCCGAAGTATAAGTAGTATTATTTAATCTGACATGTATTCTGTGTTATCTGAAGATAAGGATATGGGCTTTCTGTATGGAAGTGAATCTCTATAATAACAATAGAGTTTCAAATGCTTGACCAAAACTTTTGGATTGAATTTTACCCATCATCATTTGTGATCTAGAAATGAAATACAAACTTATCTACATGAGAAAATGCAGATGGCACAGATAGTAGCAACTATGCCAGATTGTGCAGAAATAGCCACTTTGGAAACCTTGCCAAACATATGGTAAAAAAAAAAACAAACAAAAAAACTCTATAATTCATTTCAGGAGGGGAAAAACAATGACAACATATTGAACTTCAGTTTGAAAGCGAGTAATATCTTCTAAAGCAGAGGTTACGAATTAGCGGACCGTGGTCCCACCTCCTGGCTAATCCAGACCCAACCTGATTTAAAACATCTATAAATTTCCGCATGTTGTCTAATGGCAGTGTCTAATTTCAATTGCCCCACTTCTCCTGTTTCTACGGTAAAGCCCTCCTGGGTGTCCAGCACCAGGTTACACGTGATACAAATTAGCCAATGAGCTGCTGTCAGTCTGGGTTGCTGCTGCGAGCAACTTTTAGATACAACAGGCAGACCTTTGGCAAGCCGGGCAATGGGAAAGTAGGAGAAGACCATGAGAAAAAGAGCAGAGAAAGTGTGGACTGCTGGAAGAACTGCGGTGAA